CCCCCGTTCAGGAGTATCCTGCCCTGGTAACTTAAAAGAAAATTGGCAACACTAGTTTGTATCTTGCTAAAGAGACCGACGTGGCTTGGGAAGCTGCTCGAGTTTTTTTTGTCAAGACTTGGACTGAGATTTGGCCGTGTTTCGAGAGGCCAGTGCAATCACAGAGGTTTTCAAATACGTCAAAAGTTCGGGTAAGCTTTTCTTTTTACCTATATGCTTTTATATACTTTTGTATACAATATCAATGCAGAAATACCCCAGATAACGGCTCTCATTGCCACTATAAGAATAAGATCGGGTATAATGATAATCGGATATAACGATATTAAACTCATGTCTGATTCACTATAGTCTGAAGATCACAGCGTAACGTAACAACTATAGAATGGATTGTGAGTAATCAGTTGTAACATTTACCAGCGCGCTACCCGTATAAAACATTCTGCAAAATATGTGAAATATGCCGTTTCAAAAAGAAGAATTGTGAATGCTTATAAGAAAGATTCACATAGATCCAGAAATCGTAAAAATGATATGCTGTTTTCGCTTCCAGTCGCTGTAATCAGACCACATTGCAGAAGGGGAATGGAGGTGGGTCTCTGGGGAAGACATGCCGAGAGGAACGCCCTTTTGGGGAGATTATATTTAGTAAGTTATTTTCAATCTGTACATGATGCCTTCATGGGAAAGTACATATGTATGTGTAATGAATACACACATGTGTTTTTATTTATTTACTGTGTACCTCTTTATTTTCGAAAGTTGAATAAGTTTCATGCACCTTATCCATGCCTAAGCTAGGGAATCTTCATAAAAAAAGTATGCGGATAATCATAAATAGTTGAAGTCAATAATGTCTATATGTACTCTTCTGTGAATAAAATACGCCAAATATCGCTGATAAGAAATTTATTTCCCCACTTGATATGTGTGTTGGGCTATGTGTGTGCGTATGCATGTATATGCATATGTACATGCAAATACATATGTATACATATACACCCACTATGTATATGAATATATATATATATATGCATATACATGTCCATATAAAGGCAGTACATATCTACATACATGTACATAAATCTATATGTATATATGTATTTATATATATGTGTGTGTATAAACATATATGATATATATACTTATACACATACACACACAACCACACATAGATATATATGCATATGTATGTATGTACACACACTATATATATATAAATATATATATATGCACATATATGCATATATATATATATATATATATATATATATATATATATATATATATATGTGTATATTTATATACATAGTAAAAATACGCATACAGATATATATGGATATATTTGTGTATGTCTATCAATACACAAACACAAACAAACCCATATTTGTGTATATATAAATGAATGTACACATTTGTATACATAGTATATACATACGTAGGTATGTGTATGAATATATGTATTTATACATATATATGCAGATATATCCATATATATATATATACACACATGTTTATATGTACATATACAGTATATATAGAATTTTATATAAATGTATATATATAATACATTCATACAAATGTATGTATATATATGTATTTACATTTCTATACATGAATATACCAATACCATACTTTTACATTATACATGTTCTTGGCGAGAAAGGTATCGTAATACAGCGCTTATATCACAAATCAACTGCCGCCTTAAGATTTAAAAAGAAGAGGTACCAGTGAGTGACAAAGTCGAGCTCTTTGTTCCTCGAGAAGTATAAGTCAGATATGCGAAGCTGAGCCACGTCCGGGATATGCTTATGAAGGAAGCCCAGCTGTTCTGGCTAATTCTGACTGGTGTAGCTTAGAGCAACTCAAGAGACGATGTTGGGTAGGTCAGTTAAAATATTTTCTGCAGTGACACCCAGTATTGCTTCATCCAGGTACCATAGACTTTGAGTCCGCTACTTGGTAACGTGGAGGCCCTGTCGACCCCAAGAGAAAAAGGGGCTAGGCCTATAGGGTCCCCTAGATGCAACCCTGTGGTAGATTGCAACACGGTCTCTCCAAAAAAAGAGAGGCTATTGAATAGGACTGTCATACGAACCGAAAAAGGTGTAGGTCTTGCTCTTTTGCTGCGATTAGGAAAACGTCTTTACGAATGTAGTTAAAAAATTTTTCATGTGGTTTTGATAAGAGCACGTTTTCCCTATCAGCTGTTTACATATAGCGGGTGTTTCACTTTCAATGCACTGATGGCATCCTCACCACGGCAAGCGAGGAGTCTTACCGCATCTCTTATATCGTTGTCGGCAAGTTCAGACTGAAGGTGAGTGTGGCCAGTGTTGGTTACGGGCTGTAAAGGAAAGAGAAATATGGCTGCATCCATTCCTTTGCACTGAGAGTATGGTCCACAGAGTCAAGGAAGGCAGGCCTGTCTCGGTAAATTGACCTCTTTGTACTTACTGATTAATCATATGAATACCAGTGACATATTAGAAGCGGGAGAAAATTACAAAAGTATATTTATTGTAACAAACAGTAAACAACGCAACACAGCTCGTATATAACTAAAACAGGGACTAAAAGCTCCCTTCAAAAAAGAAGCATACTCATTAACCAAACAAAAAAATGGTCCTGGACATCAGGAGATGGTCCTATCAAAATATGGGGAGTGAACTTAGCTCAAAATGAACACGAATGGCCGAAGCAACCGTCATGATGTCTCCTCACACCGATCTCGGATTGTAGGGCGCAGTCAGTTTTCGGTCCTGCTCTCCATCGAAATCCGATGAAGAGAGATTACTACAATGTCGAGATTAGGAACAATTTCAACCGGAAAGGACGGGCGCCAGCAATTCACATGCTCTCCCTCGAAATCACAGGAAGAGAGAGGGAAACGCCGTATGAATTCAGTATATAGATATATGTATATATAAATATAAATTATGTATACATATGTGTATATAAGTATTCACATAAACAAACCTTATGTGTACATACAGTACGTCCACTTACATATACTTAATAGTGTGTAGACTATTAGTCTCACTCTCTTGCCAACAAGAGACTGGGGTATCGCATTACAGCACTTATACCGCATATTAACGTAAAAAAAAAAGTTACTTGCTCGTAAAATGCAAATACCACTGTTATAAAGAACGAGAGCATCGAGGCGACTTCAGTCGACGCAGATCCTCGCAAGTGAACTGAGTGCCGCAGTTGAGCTCCTTCCACAAAAGGTATAATTCCTTCGCTCTCGTCGTCCCTCGCGTATAAACTGTCTGTGGAATTCTCAGTGGTTTAGGGATTCAAAATTGGTTTCATATCTTAGCATATAATTCTTAGTAGGTAATTGTAGTCTGGAAAAGTAGATAGATATCAGATGTCCCCTCTATATATTTGGGGTTAAATAACACATTTACTCAGTTATATTGGCATTGGCAGATGCGTGTGGTTGTATCAATCTTTTGGATGGTGGCAGGGACGGCGTGGGCACTGGGGGAAAACAACTACGATGAACATTTTCCTCCTCTTCAGCCATAACTGCACTCAGGTAACTTCACTGAATAAGGAAGGGGGGAAAGTTTGCAAGGAGCGTATATACCTTAAATCTGTACGTTGGTATGTATGTTGATGTGGTTAAAAGTAGCCCTTCATTGCCGCAGGGTCTCACAGATCTTCTCTTGCTGCGCCAAGAAGTCCTGCTGAAAGAACTGAAGCAGGCCGAGCAAGTGTCTGTAGGAATCTTGAGGGAGATAGCGGACATCTTGACTGACAAAAAAAATTCCTTCACGTCTGGAGGTAAAAGTTAAATTGGTTTACGAAATACCGAGTGGATTACTGCGAACTCATTAATATATCTAGGTAAATTAATATCTTTACTCCGAGCAGAAGTATCCTGTCCTGGTAACTTCAGAAAATGCGGCGACACTTGTTTGTATCTTGCCTTAGACACCGGAGTGAGTTGGGAAGCCGCTCGAGTTTTTTGTCAAGGCCTGGGAGGAGATTTGGCCGTGTTTCGAGACGCCAATGAATTCGCAGAGGCTCTCAAATACGTCAAAAGTTCGGGTAAGTTTCTTTTACCTTGCTTCAAGTCAGTGTATTTTTTTTTTTATATACTTTTGTAGTACAATTTGCATAGATACCCAAAACAATTGCTCTCGTTGCCACTATGAAAATAAGGTTGGGTAGAATGATAATTGTAATGAATATTATGAGAATACTTACGTCCTACATATGATGTTATAAACATTCCAGTTTGATTTCCTATAGCGATATTAAACTCATGACTGATTCACTGTAGTCTGATGATTACAGTGTAACACAACTATAGAATGGACTGTAAACAGCTTGTTAGAACCACAGTTGCAATAATAGCAATCAGTTGTAACAGACAGTCAGTGCGCTACCCCTGTAAATCATTTTGCAAAATATGTGAAATAAGCCGTTTTAAAAAATTATGAACGATTATCAGACAGCTACGCAAAGATCCAAATATAGTACCAATGATATGCCGTGTTTTCACTTGCAGTCGCTGTAAAGGGAACGCCTGTGTGGGTGGGCGGAACAGACCGCATAGAAGAGGGGGAATGGAGGTGGGTCTCTGGGGAAGACATGCCGAGAGGAACGCCCTTTTGGGGAGATTATAACTAGTAAGTCATTTTTATTTCATAGATAAGGTATCCTTGAGAATGATCACTATGAATATACATATATATATTTATATGGATGTGCGCGTGTATGTTTATATATATTTATATATATACATATATCAGTACACTTATACATAATTATACATATATTGCTTTCCACAGCGTACGCGAACCAGCTGAAGGCACATCGGGGAACTGCGCCGCCCTGTATGGCCCTGATGGTTTCTTGATACATGATGGTGTTTGTCAAAATCCATACAAGCCCCTCTGTGAGATTAAGTTGATAAATAATTAAATCAATACAATCTACATTTGTTAAACATTAGTTTACATTGTTATTTGTACTCATTAGTTTCAAAATGAAAAATGTAAATTCCTGTTGAGAAATGTATCCTGTCAAACACTGTTGCTAGACTCCTTCGTAACCGGAGAGATTGCCATAAAAAATATATATTTGCATAAAGATGTGTATATATGTATCTCTTTATTTTCAAAAAAAAAAAAAAAAATACACCTCATCCATGGGTTAACTAATGAATCTTCAAAAAAAAGCTTGCGGATCATCATAAATAGCTGAAGTCAGATATATTTATGCTTACTCTTTTGCGAATAAACATGGCAAATATCACTGATAGCTGATTCTTTTTCCCATTTGATATGCCTTTGTTGGTTTGTTTGTGTATGCATGTATGTGAAGCATCTTTTGTTTGAAATGGTGTGCTTCGTCAATGAATTAATTACATTATCCAATTATGTTCTCTCTTTCATTAAGAAAGATGTCATAATCCTTACCATATATATTACAAATATTGTAAAAACAAAACAACAACAACAAAAAAGCGGGCATGTCAAACGACCCAGTTGTCACAGGAAGTAGAGTGTCGTGGCGCCTGGCGTCAGCAAATCCATATATATATATAATGACTGGAAATAAAATGAACTAAACTAACTAGATAAATAAATAAATAAGTAAACAAATAAACATGTAGATATACATTCTTAATCTGTATAAAATAATCGTATTTTTTAATCGGGTTGATGTCTTCATTCCTTATGAACCCGATATCACAACAACACTATGCAAATTAATCTGTACATGGTAAATATATATAATCCCTTTATAATGTATATGCATATGTACGAATGTAAATACATATTTATATATGTTTACATATATACGTATGTATTTATAAATTCCATACACACAAACACATATTCATATATATAAATATATATATATCCATGCATATACATATACATATAAGTACAGTACATAGCTACACATATGGTATATAAATCTATCTATCTATATATATATATGAATATGTATAATCATAATATATACACATATACCTACACCACAGACACACATATATATACATACATAGACAGCATATATATGTGTGTGCATAGATATACACATATGTATACATACACACATATATAAATGTATTTATGCGCACACATACATATATATTTGTATACATAAAAAAATACTAACATACATATATATATATATATATATATATATACATACATATATGTGTGTATACATATACTTGTGTGTATATGGATATGTATATATATATAACGTGCATACAAATATATGTATGTATATGTATATTTGCATTTATATTCATGGATATACAAGTGCTGACAAAATCAAGCTCTTTGTTCCTCGAGAAGTATGGTTTGCAATTTTAAGGATAAGTCAGATATCGGAAGCTGAGTCTCACCCGGGCTAAACCTATGAAGGGAGCTCGGCCTGTGCCGACTAATGCTGACTGATCAACGGGTGTCAGCTGGTGCTGACTCGATATTCCTGATATTCCCTTTTTAAAAGACATTTGGCACATCTCACGAGACCATTAAAGATCCATTGTTATGGCTAATTCTGTTGCAACTCAAGAGACGATGTTGGGTAGGTCAGTTAAAATATTCTGTACAGTGCCCCCCAATATTGCATCATCCAGGTACCATAGACTTGAGTCCACTACTTGCAACAAAGTCTTTCTAAAAAGAGGTGAGAGGCCTTTGAATAGGACTGTCATACGAATCGAAAAAGGCATGAGATTTGCTCTTTTGCTGCTCTTAGGAAAACGTCTCTACCAATGCAGTTAAAAGCATTTTTCATATCAATTTAGTCAAGAGCACAGTTTTTCTAAGCAGCTGTTTACATATGGCTGGTGTTTCAGTTTTAATGCACTGATGACATCCTCGTCTCGGCAAGCGAGGAGTTTTACCGCATCTTTTATATCGTTGTTAAGTTTAGTGGCATCCCACCTTAGGATTTTGTCTGTGTGTTAGACTGTGAGTGTGGCCACTGTAGGTTTCGGGCTGTAGAGGCAAGAGAAATGTGTTAAACAAGTTATGCGTTACCTGTTGAACTTTTGTGGCAAGTGTAGGACGTAAGATCTTTTGTCGGTTGTATGAGGGAGCCGTAAACAAAACCAAAGACGCAGGTATATGCTTATTCCGTGTTATTATTATTATTATTATATACATTTTTTAATGACATAAAGGGCTTACACAGCTGCTACTGCCTTTGAGATGTAAGCTATCACACGAACACGATGTTTGCGTCCGCAAAATATTGTGGGCGGTGCATTACTTTGCACACTGTGAGTATACTCCAGAGAGTCAATGCGGGCAGGTGTATCTGATACAATGACTTTCTCTTTGTACTTACTAACTAATGTAAATACCAGTGACATGATATTGGAAGTGAGAGAAAGCCATAAAAGTACAAAAGTATACATTTATTATAACAAAAGAAAAGCATGCTCTATTTCCTCACAAACAGTAAACAATAACACAACTCAACTCGTATAGAACAAAAAAAGGAAACAAAAGCTCCCTTCAGAAAGGAAGCATACTCATTGGAAGATTCATCTTTAAGCAAAGAAAATAGTCCCATCAAAATATGGGGAGTGAACTTAGCTCAAAACACGAATGCCCGAAGCAACCATCATGGCGTCCCTCTGGTGACTTCACCGGCTCCTCTCACACCGATCTCGGATTGTACCGGTTTATGGCGCAGTCTGCTTTCGGGCCTGCCCTCCATCGAAATTCAATGAAGAGATTATTACAATGTCGTTTTCATGACACGAGATTTGGGACAATTTCATCTGGAAAGGACGACCGCCAGCAATTCACATGCTCTCCATCGGAATCAGAGGAAGAGAGCGAAAGGCTTTATATATGTATATAAACATATACATATATAAATGCATATATACATATATCCACGCACGCACACACACGTGTATACACACACACATACGTATATATACACACACTTCTATACATTTATACATACGTACATGTTTATGTGTGTTTGTGCGTGTTTTTGTGTTGCTCATATAAATAGGCAATTTTTCACCATGCTTTCGCATAACCGATCGCGACGATTTTGGTATCGATGGATTCCTCTCTGTACTATCCAAATATATCGAAATTCTGCCGCGGAAACCCTCCAAAGTCCCACATTCTTGGTTCAGATAGCAGGGAGGGCATGCGAGGTAGCTGGGAAATTGCGGGGTACCCTAATAATGATATAATAACATAATGACAATACCTCACAACACATATACACATATACACACACTAATACCAAATATATCGAAATTCTGCCGCGGAAATCCTCCAAAGCCCCACATTCTTGGTCCAGATAGGTGGGGAGGGCATGCAAGGTAGCTGGGTTCACTAATAATGATATAGTAACATAATGATGATACCTCACAACACTGTTCATTACAGGTGGCTACGTCCCTTTCGCGTATTCACAGCAGGATAGAGCGCACGACCTACTGTATCCTATTCATATTTTAAGCCACAATTTCCCTAGTACCTTTGATGCCCTTCCCTGCTATCGAGGCCAGGATTGTCACTAATAAAGAGTTTCTGCGGCATAAGTTTGATACATTTGGATAATTGTGAGATAAATCAATCGATAGCTAAAACGTCGCGGTCGATTATTCAAATGTATTCTGAAATATCCACATTTCTTTATGCAGCATGTACAAAGATGTGTGTATGCATACATTTGTACATGCTGCATAAAGAAATACATATATGTATGTATTCAGTATATATGTGCATATGTATATATATATACATATGCATTATGTATACATAGGTATATATGCATGTATGTATTTACACAGAAACTTGTGTGCACATACAGTATGTATGTACGCATACATATACGTGGTAGTGTGTAGAATATCGGGCTCGCTCTCTAGCCAACAAGAGACTGGGGTATCGCATTACAGCATTTATGTCGTTGCTTATCTGTCTTATTCAAATTAGATAAAAAAAAAAAAAAAAAAAAAAAAAAAAAAAACAGTTACCAGCTCGTAAACAGCGAACCCCACTGTTTTAAACAAGGAGAGCATCGAGGCGACTTCAGTCGACGCGGATCCTCGCAAGTGAACAGAGTGACGTAGTTGAGCTCCTTCCACAAAAGGTATAATTCCTTCTTTCTCGTCGTCCCTCGCTGTCTGATGTGAAATTCATCTGTGATTTAAGGATTCAAAGTTGGTTTCATATCGCATATAATTCTTACTGGGTAATTGTTATTCCCGAGTAGATAAAGATATCAGATGTCCTCTTCAGGGTTTAATGACATATTAACTCATAGTCACATTGGCGTCGGCAGATGCGTCTGGTCGTATCAGTCTTTTGGATGGTGGTAAGGACGGCGTGGGCACTGGAGGAAAACAGTGTGGACCACCTCTACGATGAACATTTTCCTCCTCTTCACCCCAACTGCACTCAGGTAACTTCACTGAATAGGGAAGGGGGGGAAAGTTTGCAAGGAGCACATTTACTGTAAATCTGTACGTTGGTATGCATGTATGTTAATGTGGTTAACAGTATCCCTTCATTGCCGTAGAGTCTCACAGATCTTCTCTTGCTGCGCCAAGAAGTCCTGCTGAAAGAACTGAAGGAGGCCGAGCAAGTGTCTATAGGAATCTTGAGGGAGATGCTACACATCTTGACCGTCAAGACTTCCTTCATGTCTACAGGTAAAAGTTATATTGGTTTAAAGCTACGAAATACCGAACGTATTAGTATGAAGTGATGAATATACCTAAGTGAGTTCAAATGTTTACTTCGCGCAGAAGTATCCTGTCCTGGTAACTTCAGAAAATGCGGCGATACTTGTTTGTATCTTGCCAAGGACACCGACGTAACTTGGGATGCTGCTCGGGGTTTTTGTCAAGACTTGGGAGGAGATTTGGCCGTGTTCCGAGACGTCAATACATTCGCAGAGGCTCTCAAATACGTCAAAAGTTCGGGTAAGTTTTCTTTTCTTTTCTTTTCTTTAACCAGGCTTCAAGTCAATGTATTCTTTTATGTAGTTTTGTAGCATGATTGGAATGCAGAAGTACCCAACTCAATAGCTCTCATTGCCACTACAAAAATATGATTGGGTATTATGATAACTGTGGTGAATATTATGAGAATCCTTACATTCTGCACATATTGGTATAAATATCCTAATTCTATTCCATAGAACGATAATAAATTCATGTCTGATTCACTCAAGTTTAAAGATCAGAGTGTAACATAGCTATAGAATGGATTGTAAGTAATCAGCTGTAACAGATAACCAGCGCGCCATCCGTGTAAATCACTCAGCAAAATATGTGAAATATGCCGTTTCAACTAAGAATTATGAATGCTTATAAGACAGCTAACAAAGAGTCAGAAATCGTAAAATTTATATGCTGTTTTCGCTCCCAGGCGCTGTAAAGGCAACGACTGTCTGGGTGGGCGGAACAGACCACATAGTAGAAGGGGAATGGAGGTGGGTCTCTGGGGAAGACATGCCGAGAGGAACGCCCTTTTGGGGAAGTTATAATAAGTAAGTTATTTTCAATCTGTACATGATGCCTTCATGGGAATGCATATGCGTATGTGTAATGAATACACGCACATGTACATTTATTGATTCATTGTATTGTAATACTCGCTAACATTGCTTTCCACAGCGTGCGCGAACCAGCTCAAGGCACAGCGGGGAATTGCGCCTGCCTGTATGGACCTGATGATTTCTTGATACACGATGCAAACTGTGGCTCAAAATATAAGCCTCTCTGTCAGATTAAGTTAATGAGTAATTAAATCATTGGAGTCTGGATTTGTTAGACATTAGTATACATTGTTATAATTATTTTTACACATTAGCTTCAATTAAGATAAAAAATTCACGATGAGAAATGTATCCTGTCAAGCATAGTTGCTTCACTGCCATCGTGCACCTCTTTATTTTCGAAAGTTGAATAAGTTTCATGGATCTCATCCATGCCTTAGGATTTTCATTAAAAAGTATGCAGATAATCATAAATAGCTGAAGTCAATAATGATTATGCGTACTCTTTTGTGAATAAAATATGCCAGATATCGCTGATAACTGAATTATTTCCCCAATTGATATATGTGTTGGTCTGTAAGTGTGTGTTAGTATGTATATGCATATCTACATGCATAAGTACATATTAATATATGTATACATATGTGTAAATATATGTATACTTCCATACACACGTATATATACATATATATGCATAAACATATCCATATAAATGCAGTATATATCTACATATATGTATATAAGTCCATATATAAATATGTATTTATATACATATATATGTGTATAAACATATATGATACATATACTTACACCACATACACAAACACACCATATATATATATATATATATATATATATATATGT